TTGTCTCATCGTCGTCTTATTTTGCCATGGCTTTGCCAGTTTCTCTTGACTTAAGATGTTTAAATGTCCCCTTGGTATCTTTCGCCCTTTATAAATTAGATCACCAAGTGTGACAAAGTCTACCAATAGGGGTTATTGCATATTGAAATAAGGCAAACTGGTTTTTTATTTGAGCTTAAATTAAAATGTGAAACATTATAAGAGGCAGATTGATTTATTTTCTGTGTATCTCATTTTCCGTTTTGAAGTATAAAAGAATTAGGTTATACAGGAGTGGGACTAAGTTTTATGCGTTTCTTGTTTTTCAGTTTTAAAGTACAAAGGAGCTTTACTTATATTTCTGCATATCTCAAATTACACAACTTTGAAGTACAAATGCTTCATATTTTCCATCAATGGTTCATTCGACTTCAGCTTTTACAAATCATGTAATCTTTTTATAAAGTCACAACAATGAACACAATATGAAGATTTAAGAGATAAGAGAAAACTGTTGTCTATTCCACTATGTATTATACATATAAAAAAAGAGTACCAAAAACATGTCAACGTTCAATATACAAACGTATTCCTTTTATTTTTTTTTATTTTTAAAAATTAACACCATCTCATTGCAAGTCTTTTTTTATTCATCTTTGTAAACAAGAACATGTTACCACAGAAAAAAACCAACAGCATACGGACAAAAAAGCTAGATATTCGGGAATATCCTTAGAATTATTTATATTCGTATGAAAATGAATAGTAAGATTAAAACAAATAAAAAAACATGTGCAGGGTAAAGGGATTCAGATTTGATGTCAAAATTAATTATTGGAACCCTAACCTCATGTCCTGTGTATGATTTCTCGTGTTCAAATTGGATGTTGACTCATTTTGTAGTAAAACAGGACACATGATGCAAATGTATCTGATTCAGCTATTTTACTTCACTTATATAGGAAGTCACTGTCCACGTATATAACATAAGTCATTAATAACCAATCTAAAGAGAAATCCCATTACCATATATGCGGGAAATTAAGATACAGTACTCAGAAAAAAGAAATTCAATACTTCGAAAATGAAACCATAACAACCTTTTGTCAACTGTTATAACGTGTTAAAAACAAGCCCTCCTATATATTACATCTTACGGTAAATTCATGTCAAAATATAAAGATGATAGCAGAGGCGTATTTAGGAGGGGACCAGGGGGGGCATATCCCCTCTTATTGAGCTACATATATAGTTAATGCATAGACTTTTACATAATTTGCTCCTAACGTTGACTAATTTTGGGGCCACTCTTTTTCAAAGTCCTGGATCCGCATCTGGATAGTTTGCGAATACCTAGGCAAATTAAAGGTTTAGACAATTAACCTAATTGTTTGGTCAGTGTACATCCCCTTTTATTATACTTTAACTTGCTCCTAGACTGTTGTTCAGCATATCATTTTAATTTTACAAATTGTATCTTGAAACTCATTTGGAAAATTTGTTTATTTTCCACTAGTGAATAGATTTTATACTGATTCGGTCATTTTGATATCAAGTTAGCCATCTAAACAAACTCTGAGCAAAATATCATTAACTCATAAGTTTTACAGTAAATTTTCAAACTATTTGTAAGCGATAAATACTTGTCCAGCCACTTAGCATGCGACCAATTGAGATCGGTTCAACCTTTATAGCTTTTATTGTTCTGATCAAAACATACTTAATTACCCCAAAAAGTTAAGAACAAACCTGAACAAAATATGAACATTTGAGATCCTACTGAACGGAAAATGTACTTGAAAACTAACTTAAACACAACTTGACATTTAGTGGTCATATCATTTTGTTTGTTTCAGACATGTCAAAACTATGTAAAGTTTTCACATTTAAAAATAGTAGATTAAATCATTGATAAGCTAAAGGTTTTAATTGTTTTCTCCCCCAACCCAAAGTTGAAACCAACTCATATGTATACGGCGATTATGTATATCTTCCGCCATTGCTCGGGATAAAAATAAAATTGAAATAGCCATGACCATCAACAAAGTTTGAAGAAAAGATATGTCATGGCGCTAGCTGTAGCTAATTGTTGGATTTCCTGCAATTTAGTTTGTGGTAAAAATGGAGTCTCAGTGGATATGAGAGTTCAAATAAAAACAAAATGATCAGAAAATTATATAGATGGTGCATAGAAAGCCTAATTTGTTCACATATACAATCGCATATGTATAGTATTGTTTCATATGTATGTATTATGTATATATATATGTATTGTTAACACAAATGCTGATTTGTACTTAAATTGAATATAAGATAAACTTCATTAAAAAATCATATTAACCATAATAGATTCAAAACATGCAATTGATTAATCAAATTGTAAAAATCGAATCAGAAATAAAAAGTATTTATAAATTATCATATTCAAACATTTGTCAGAGATTTTGCAGTAAATGTATTTCCAATGAGGAGATGTAATATGTTAGGTATCTCGCGACGTTACTTTGTTTATCTTTTTCGCCGTGTATATATATATCTCCATTAGGAAGAATTGGTTTCCTGATACAAGATATTTTTTAAAACAAACAAAAAAGGAACCACACAATCAAACAAAACAATGCTGTATCCTGAAAACGTACAATTTTTTTTACAAAATTTAAAATCTTGCATTTCGAAAGAGAATACAACATGTGTGAAGAAATATTTATGGATATCTCACAAAAATACAAGCAACTATGTTTTAGGACTTTACAGAAGTAATGTGATATAACACTGTAGGACTTACCAATGCATATTTTATGAAGCAAAACAGAAAAAGAGAGATATTATTTAAGAGTTAAAATTTTAATAAGAAAGGCCTCGTCAGTGAATCATCTTCCGATCAAAGGCCTTGTAAAGATCTAGTTTACGCTTAAGATTACTTTAAAAGAAATCATCTTGACCACATAGGCATTTGGAAGAAGAATAGCACAAAGTGTAAGCATGTTTTATTTCAAAACAACTCAAAAAGCTAGAAAGACATGTTTTATAAAGCGGGCAAACTTGTTATGAGATAATTTCCCGCACAATATCAACACCTCACAAACCATTGAAAAACATGCTATACCTTTAGAAATATTTTGTTAACTATAAGAATAAGAATATTTACTGTTTCAATTAAGGACCTTTGATGGGCAGCATACCATTTATACACACAAAACAATACACTAGGATTTTGTAAATAAAAATATTTTACATTGAAATGAAATTTTTAATGTTCATATAGTTATATATAAACCTACATGTATTTCTTCGTCTTATATAAATCAAGTACATTTTATTCCAGACAGGACCAGAACCATAAAATCGTAACAATAATCATCGTTATTAAGTATATTTATTTACGTTTCGTCTAATATCTAGACATTTCATAATAATATTCCATAAATACTTTAGGACAGACAAATTTTTATTAGTGAATAACCAAACAAATTTTGCTTCATAACTATATTTGTTTACCTCTATTTTCCTCAATATTTTTTTTTAAACATTCGATATTTACGCATAATTATAATTGTTTCGGGTTTTCGTTAAAAGAGGATATAAAAAACTCACAACATTAAAAAAGTGGATTAAATAGTTGATATCAAAACAAGATATCGACAAACATAAAGAACGACTGCTATACATGTAAAGCGCAACATTTAATAAATTATTTAGAAACTAAGGTTTCAACTCCCTCTGGCAAACCTTAGATGGATTTGGCTAATTTTTTTTTCCTTTTTGGTCGTATATCTCTTCAACTGTTTCGGTTCTTATACATCCTTGGCTTTCAAATATTTGGCATTGAGCGTTCCTGATAAAGTTAAATTCAGAAAAGCGCTTCGAACGCATGAAATTTATAACGTGTTGTTTTCATTTTTTTTAATAGGATTCATTTTCATTTAATTAGAAATAAAAAAGGTAAAAAAAAATTGCAGACTGTCTTTTTAACAAAAAACTGCAGTACAACGAGATGTTTTGTTCAAAAAAATAATTACATATTTTTTTACGGAAAAGTAAAAGAAAACGAAATGTTAATTTGATTAGTATTTTTTTCGATGCATATTAAATTAATCTAAGGAATCAACGAAAATTCAATTTTATCGTCTTTGTTTTTTCCTTATAAATATATTTATTTAATTATTTATCTATATATTTTTATTGTTATTTCAGTATATTTTCAGAAAAAAATAATTGTTAAGTTATTTTATTTTTTTTTTTCTTGTTGCTCCAAGTTTTTTACCAAGATGTTAATTATATATTGGATGACATATTATCAATTTAAGATTTTTTTTTATTAATGGTCCGATTAATGTAGGTTAACCAATATCAATGAATATTATTAAAATGACATACATTGTCTAGCTCATTAAATTAAAGTATAGGTTAACATGCAGGTATGCACATGTATGATATTACTACACATTTTAAGTAATCGATATTACGGCATTTGTTCACAAATTCTTACCCTTATAGAAATTCCTGTGATTGCTATCTAATGATTTTACTTAAATTTCGAAAGAAAGAACACGTCAATTACTTTGCGTTCGACTGGATTCATCAATAAGTAATTCTAACTACATTGTCAAATATTTGCGGATGAATCATTTCTGTGGTCCTACTTTTTAGTTTTTCACTTGTATAAAACGTTGATTGTTTCATATACAAATTAACCAAACACAAAAATAGCTCTAAGTTACCAAACACAATTGAACATAATATTCGCGTAAAATTTTTTAATGAATATTTGTATATTCTGTTAAAACATTGTTTTCGATATGCTATATTTACGATAATTCTATTAGTATTTTCTAATGATAAATTTGTATAGCTTAATTTCTTTTTTTTTTCCTAATAGATGATATAGCATATAAATATATACAAACAGATACATGCAGATGCAATATTTTTATAATAAAATATATATAAATTAGAAAAACAATAAGGTCTTTCCTCACATAGGGGAAAGATCTTAATAATATTTGTTTTTAAGTATTTACCTTCGTGGTAGGTAAAAGTCCAGCATTTTTTCAGTCTCTTTTCTCACAATTTTAAAACAGCAAACACTATTAAATATTTCTACACCACAATCATATACAAAGGCTACTTTTACTAAGTTGAAATAATAAATGAAATAAATTTCAAGTGTTTACCAACAGAACTGATTGCACTAAGTGACTTCTCTTTGTCAAAGTGTCCAAACTAAAGGAGTGTGGTGTGCATGTTTATGTGTTCATTTATTAATTTGAAAATATTTTGACTGACAATGCATCAAATGCACTTCACAATTTTTTAATATATTTTTTTTTACGATGGAATTTGTACTTAACAAAGACGTATAAACATAAAATAAAAACGGAAAAATATTTACTTTAGTGCAATACATTTTTATGTAAATTCAAAGAAGAGTTGTCTATCTTGAACTGAGGTAAACTAGTACTCCAGTGTACTTTAAAGTTCATTTTGCGGTTTTATAAATGGGTGACTCAATTGATTTTTTTATCTATAAAATAAGTACAATCAACAATTCAACAGCGACAATTATGAAAATTATACTTTTTAACCTCAAATATTAAAATGATAGTACTTTAAATTTACGTTAATTTTACTACGAATTGTACACATGCAACAACATGTCTTTATAGCTCGTGTTAAAATAAAGTTTTGAACTTTTTATCATTCACCTATTATCTACATGTAACTATCATAAAATATAGAAATAATCGAAAATGTTCACTCAGATCTTATCATTTAAGGTAAAACTGAAGGAGACAAAACAAATAAAAGTAGTGAAACGCGGTGAAACGTATCTGCATAGCAACTGTCGCTTTAGGGAGGATAACCCCATCTGTTGGTATTCTAACTCGAGATCCAATGTTTAACATTTGGCTGTCAGACTAATTTTGGCCTCGAAGATTTAGCGGAATCAGAACAATCAAATTTTCAAATAATGCGAAACACGTTTAAAAGACTTTAACTATTATAAATATATTTTTTTTTCAAAACAAAATGTGCATAGCAAAGAATTCCGCTCAAACAGGTGCTAGTTGCCGTCTTAAACTTACAGTACGTTGAGAGTTGTTTGCTCCGGGTTGAAGGCCTCACTGTGACTTTGAGATGAAAAACAACAATACAAGCGCTGTTCCTTTGCTTTTTGTGTGATTTTGCTGTGCGTGAATGATTTTGTGTCATGGATTGATACCTCATATCCTTCGTTTTTCTTTTATAGAACACAGATGGCTGAACTTGCTCAAATAACTTGAAGCAATTTCATTTATAGACCAGCAAACAGAACCGGCTTAAACGTAAAAACAATCAATCATGGTTTATCCTATGTAATGGAAACTCAGAAATACACATGTGTACATTTTTACATGCATGTACACATAGGTACTGCAACTCTAAAACCACATGTGAATATCTTTACATGCATGTACACATAGGTACTGTAACTCTAAAACCACATGTGTACATTTTTACATGCATGTACACATAGGTACTGCAACTCTAAAACCACATGTGAATATTTTTACATGCATGTACACATAGGTACTGTAACTCTAAAACCACATGTGTACATTTTTACATGCATGTACACATAGGTACTGTAACTCTAAAACGCCTCAAAAATATTCTTTTTTTAAACTGTGTATTTAGGTATAGTTTCTACATACACACATTGACATATCCACTCCCGTAGTGAATTCAGCATCACATCTACCGTTGTTGTTTTGGTAACATACTTTTGAGTACGTTGGGGATGAACAAGAGAGTTTGTGAGTGTACCCATGTAAGCCACATTAATAAGATATAAGATAGCCATTATAGGGTAATCTCAATTATGTAGTAAAAAAAGCTTGTACATTGTTGTCAGTTGATTGTAAAATAACTGGGTTTAAACAATCTGATTTTTTCACCTTTGAAAGTTCGGTATATAATTTCTTGCTTTGTCGATTTCCTTGTGTTCTGTAGTTTTGGTTTATTACTGTTAATTACCTTCACGCTATTTGTTTGGACTGTTGATATTGCTACTTTTTTATAAACTCAAAAAAAAATACATGTATGTCCGACGACAAAAAAAAAGTTAAAAGATTCCATAAATGAATTTAAGTTTCAAGCCATTTTGACACTTACAAATAAGACTTTAAAACGATTTTTCAAGCCTGTATGTTAATTCTGTTGAAGCTAAACCTGGCTATTCCACTATCGCGGTCAAACGAATTCAATTTATGTTCTCTTGAAATCATATTTTAAGTGCATGATTAGCGGACATTTGTTTGGGAAAAATGATTAAGAAAAAATCAAAATTTAATGATTATATGCGAAATAAATGTTAAGATATAGCACTTTACAGCGTGAATGTTGCACTTAAAGCCAAACAAGTAATTTCCATATGAACACCATTTGTAACAATGAGGCTTATAAAAAATATATATTCGAGTAAAAAAATATCATCTTTACAACTGTTTTAGCAAAGTAAAAGTGTAAAACCTTTTGCAAATTATTCTTGTGCGTTCTTACTAAAATTCATCCTCTTGGACTGGTACACACCGTCACCATCTCCCGTATCCTCATAGTCTGTGTATGAAATTATGTCGAATGCCCAGAGGTGGATGCATGGTTTGCTCCCCCCTTTCTCCTTTTAAAATCCTGTCTCTGCATCTGATGCTAGCCATGAAACTATTCCACATAAATTTAAGATTTTCTGTTGCGGAATCGGACAAAACACGAGAAATATTTATGAGAACAAGGTCGTGAAGAACACTAAATGTGTTAATATTTTCCAAAAGAGATGGGTGCTTTTTTAATAAGCTATTTAGTACAACGTTTTGTTTTTCATTGCTTATATTAATTCATAAATATAACAATTTTATCTACCGGGTATTCAGTGAAAAGAAGATTTAAGCAAAACAAAATATGGGGTAAAATCGTGTTATAACGCATGAATCATATTTCAGGATAATTTTAACACAGTTTGGAAAAACTTTGAAAAGTTTGAGTGTCGACGGATTTTGTTACGGGTATGAACTATGAATATCACGCCATACCGTGCGACTTTGTTGATCATATATAGACTTGGAAACAAAACTTTTCCGATTATTTGAAATGTATTTCACACGATATTTAATAGAACATGAAATAAATATGTAAAAAGATTGCATTGAACATGTTGACATCTGTATGTTTTTACTCAAGGATATAAACAGTTAAACAATCCTTGTTTTCCCGTAAAAAAATTGTCCTTCTTGTGTAAACGTTTCGTCAGAATATATAAAGGTTGGCATATGGTATATTTATTGTGTAGGATTCATATGTGTCAAAGTATGATGTATAAAAATAAGAAGATGTGGTATGTTTGCCAACGAGACAACTATTCACCAAAGTTCAAATAGAGTGGATGTAAGCAATTATAGGTAACCATACGGCCTTCAATAATGAGGAAAAAAAACAATCTGTATAGCCGGGTATAAAAGGCCCCGACATGAAAACTTTGAAAGAATTCAATAAAAATTTCTAATCTTGTTCTTTTATGTCATGACGTACAACTTTAGATTATATAACAACTCCTTATGATAACACGAACCATCAAAAATAAAGTGTCAAGACTGTAGATTATATTTAAACATAAAGGAATTAACTCATTTTTTTAAAATGAAAAATATGCAATATTTCAATATGCCTTTTATTCGTAGACATTAATTTCATTTAAGTAAAATTCAAGCAGTAGTTGCAGGGCTTTGGCTTCATAACGCAAAAGAAAGTTCATAAAATTTTACTGCGAAACCATTAACCATTAACCATTAACCATTACCAGAAACACAGGACTATAATAACTTAATATCTAACCATGATATGAAGGATTTTAAAAAGGTCTTAGAAAGACAAAAAGTAACCCTTACAAAATCTAAGTACAATGTAAGATGCAGACAAAATACTAGAAAAAAACAAAATTGCAGTCCATGAAATACCGAATCAAAAAGGTAGTCAATAGTTTCATTGTTTCGTCTGTCAGAGGCGGATTTAGGGAGGGGGCAAGGGCAATGATACCCTTTATGGAGCTACATATATGGTTAATGCTGAGACTTCTTACGAGTCTCTCTCCCAACGTTTTCTTGTTGGTGTGCCCCCACCCCTTTTCAGAATCCTGGATCCGCATCTGTCTTTTTCGAAAAGGAAATATGTCGATACATTTAGTCAGCGAAATTAGGTAGCTTAAAAGTTATTGAGATTTTTTTAAATGTTATGATCCGGGGAATACATGATCGACTCTTTATTTTTGATGGTTCGTGTTATCTTAAGGAGTTATTACATAATCTTAAGTTGTACGTCATGACATAAAAGAACAAGATTAAAAGTTTTTATTTTGATGTTACAATAAAATTATTCTTTCCTATACTTGTCTCAATAGTGTGCTTATACTTGACTTGAAGTATTTCATCTCATTCATAAAGTAGGATTTATAGGCGTGAGAAATGTTTAACCACGTCAAGTAATTCAAGATCACATACATGTCATATTAGTTAATGACAAAACAATTCAAATCATTAAAAGAATGTATATTATTACAGATATAAATGTTTAATAGACATGTATCTATACACAGTTATGACGTATGACGGATAATTTATAGATCAAAGGAATTCCAAGGTCACAGTATATGAAGTTAACAAGAATAACTCAAATAGTTGGAATAATATAAATCGACATGAAAAATAAAATCATGATCTAAATTAGAAAATAAATTAGTACAGAACAATCCTTTCCGTCGTAAAATTAAAAAACAAAACATTTTTCACTGTTTTTTTTTAAATTTCTATTTTGAAGAAAAGGTTTGACTTAGTTCTTGTTTTTGTAAACGCTATACAACTTGTAAATTGTATATTTATGCATAATATACTAATGAACTGTATTGTTCAAAGTAATAAAGAATTGAAAAATTTCATTTTATTAAAAAAGGTAATTATGAGAGCTTGTAATTGGAATAAAAAGTTTTCAAACTATTTAAGAGCTCAAACAATTTAATCAGTTCTAAACATCAGTCCATATCTATAGCTCTGGTCCATATCTATAACTGACTAATGCAAACATGTTACATGTATAGCTTACATGTCGCTGTGGTTGTGTCTAAACTAGATCTAAATATTCTACACTTTTTGAAGCAAATCTGTTGAA